AATTCAACCCATAACACCTGCCTCACTTGATTGCATTTTATTTCAGGGCCTTTTACAGTAAACTTTCTTCAGTTTTAAAAAAATGTTTTTCGCTTGAAAAATTGAACAGGAAGTCTTACAAAGTTTGATTGCTTTGTTTTTTGTGCTCGCCTCCATTTTTCTCTGTATCATAGAGCTTCAGGACGCAACACAGCATCTTGACATTAAGCAGAGAGCCGTCCTTTCTCCCTGGCTCTTTGAAAGTCCTGGAGTTTTCTCTGAGGTTTTGATTTGAAGCCTCAATTTTTGGATGTGGCCTTTCCAGGGCTTTCTGAAGTGCTGAGTGATCTGGCTTCACTGCGTCTTCAAAATGTCCCTGCCACAGCTACTATTCTTGCTCTGTAGCATTTGGCTTTAAATATGTTTCATATCAACAGGGTTGACACCCTCTGTTTTTCTCTTCCACTCATCCTTCTGAATACAGATGAACTTCTTGCAAACCCAGTACACTTTGCATGAAGAAATAGGTACAACTGGCTTTTGTGAGTCAAAAACAGACTGGCCCCTCCCAAGGGTGACAGCAAACAGCTCCCCAGGCCCAGCTTGGCCATGTATCATGTGCTAAGGCAGACCTCCAAAGGATGATTTTAGAAGATCAAGGGAGATTATATTGGCTTGAAAAAGATGATTTAAATGAGATGCAGCCTAGTCTAGTTTAGGAGTAAAGACTGTCGGGACAGACCACTTACTGGCTGTGGCAACTTACACAAGTTACTTAAGCATTAGTTTTATCATCTGTGAAAAGGATTTATTGTATCTACTTTATAAGTTTATTGTGAGGACTGAATAACCTAATGCAGGAAACATGCTTAGCACAGTACTTGGCGCACAGTGATTAGCGGCAATTGTTCTTAGTATAAAGAGCTGCTGTTATTTCCCCCTTTATTTAGACATTCTTTGCTTTAATTTATTTTCCAACTGGCTTCAGCAGCATTTTTCTTTTTGAGGCATCTGAAGGTCAAGTTTCAGAAAAGGAAAGCAACTAAATGTTGAAATGATATAGATGGAAATCTGATCAAAGGCAATTTAAAAAAAAAAATACACTTTGCCAAGTATTCAGGTGATGTTCTACACTTAGCACTATGATAGGACGCTAGGGTTACTGGAAATAAACTCAGCAAACTATTGATTAGTAATATAAGTGTCAAGGAATTAAGCTTGCAATGAAGCAGGCAATGGATACAGCCTTGTTTGGCTGTAAAAATGCCGACATTCCTGAAACAATGAGCTCATCATTAAATTCTTCATCTTCTGCACCCATAAGAGAATTCATGGCTTGTTTGCTCATTTTTGCTTTGCTTTCTAGGCAGCTAAGAAGAAAATAAAGCAGTGGTTCTTAAACTTTATTGTGCACTAGAATCACCTGGAAGGCTTGTTAAACAGCAGATTCTGCACCCTAGCCCTGCAGTTGCTGGTTCAGGAACACGGGTTGGACCTGAGAATTTGCATTTCTGTCACAATCCCGGGTGATGCTGTCACATTCCTGATGCTGCTGTTTCAGGAAACATACTTTGAGAACCACTGAGATGAAGTCCCCTGAGGCACACTGTGATGTGGTCTACAGCAGGGGGCATTAGTCATAAAAAGATGAGTTTGAGTCCTGGGGCTGTCCTTACTAGCAGAGCTTTTTTAAGCCAATAATAGCAAATAATCTCTCTGAGACTAGGTTTCTTCCATATTCAATAAGAAATAATAAAATTCACCTCATGAAGGCCCCTTGTAAGGGTTAAACGTTTGTAAAGCACTTTGTTCATGTATTAGTTTCAGAAGATTTCATTAATCTTTTATTATATGATTTTGTGAAAGTCATGTAATATTTCTGAATGATTTGGGCAACCAAGTCTATCAAATGAATAATGCCGTTCATTTAAATGACAGAAGCAGTTTTAAATATTTCACTAAAATTCCACTTCAGAATTCTCATGCCCTTTTTCAGTCTGGGCTGTGTGTATGTTAATTCCCCCATTGTAATTAATCAAGTTGTCCTTCCCTCATTTAATTCTTACTAGGTACTAAATTGTATAATAAATTAGGAATTTCCTCCTTCTCTAATTCTGTGCATTGGCATTTTAGCATATTTTGATGCGTAGGTGGTAGAGAGCAGTGAAAAAGTCACAGCTAGAGTGCAAACCCTGAGTTTTCATGATTCATGAACAACCGGGATCTGACCACAGTTTTGCTTTTTTATATTTAGAATCAGCCATGTCAATGGCCGCATGGCACAGAATCACCTGGGAGCTTCTTAAACATATAGAGTTTAGCACCCCATCTCTAAAAAATATGATTCAGTATCTAGATGTTGGATCCTGGTCATATACATTTAAAGTATGACCCCAGGTGGTACAGAGACTACATTTCATGAAACACCAGGAATGGTCTGGAATACTCCAGTTTGCTTTTAAATTCAAACTCTGCCTGCAACTAGCTATGTAGACTCAATCAAATTCTTTGGTCTTCTTAAATCTGGGTGCTGTTTATGCAAAATTGCTCATTCTCACTTGGGGCTGCTATGCAGATTACAATTATCATATGTAAAGTGCCTAGAACAGTGCTAGGCATGAAGCTCTCAAACACTCTAACATTGGAGTCGTTCTTTTAAAATGCAGACACTGGAAGGCAAACAGATAAGATCAACACAAAAGTTCCTAGGAGGATAGAAGCGAAATGAAGCCAGTTGGCTCTGTGAATCCATACAATATTTAGTAAGCCTTAGGAAAGGGAATTCATCAAAGATTACATTAAAGTGACTAATTTCTTTCCTTTTTTTTTCTTGAGAGAGAGGGTCTCACTCTGTCACCCAGACTGTAGTGCAGTGACACAATCACAGCTCATTTCAGCCTTGACCTTCTGGTCTCAAGTGGTCCACCTCAGCCTCCCAAGTAGCTGGGACCACACCTGCAGACCCCCATACCTGGCTAAATTTTTAATATTTTGTAGAGATGGGGATCTCACTGTGTTTCCCAGGCTTGCCTTGAACTCCTGAGCTCAAGTGATCCTCCATCCTTGGCCCCCAAAAGTCCTGGGAATACAGGAGTGAACCACCATGCCCAGACTAAAGTGACTGAGTTCTTATAGGTATCTTCAGGTCAGGAACATTCACAACTAGTTTCTAACTTGTTGTAATTATTGTCTAGGTTCTAAAGTTCTTATTTTGGATGCTATATGATTAAACAGTGTTTGAGAGTCTTGAAATGAATTATTCAATCGAATCTATTGAATCAGCAGACTATCACTTTTTACTGTTCCAGAACAATAATTTTTCATTCACTTTAATGTGACAGATAATGTCCTTTCATGAAAATACTCAACCCTTCAAGAGAGCCGAAATAAAGCCTTATTAATACAAGAAAACAGAGCCAATATTATTCAGTAACAGAATAGAAAAATGCTGTTTAAAAAGAAAACATTATTACTACAAAGACAGATTTTTATTCACGAAGTTAGGAACTACCATATAAATCTACATTTACTTTGATTTTTCCCAGCATCTTTGTGGCTGTCCTTCTTTAGTCTCGTAAGCAGTATTTTTTTTTCTGTTCCATGGCCTTTCCCAGCTTACTGACACGCCTGTAATTTACATGCCTAAAATTCGTAGTGTGGCATCTTTTTACTTCCATGCAGTTCCTGAAGATCTATGATGTCAGTAAAGCTTTTAGAAGGGAATTTATCAGCCACGATCGCACACTCATTAAACAAAGCTTAAGAACAGACAGTCCTAAGGGGGTTTTCATTTATGGATCATTTAGTGTGGGGTTTCCCAAGGACAATGGTCAACATTAATTAAAACATCTTGAAGTCTGTAAAGCACAGTTATTTCTGTGTGAGATGCCATGAAGAGCTTTGAATTATCAATTGAAAAACAAGAAGATTTAGAAAATTTCAGCTTTCTTGTTGCTCTCCTGCAGATGCCACTTTAAAATAAATTTTTTTCAGCATCACCAAGATTAACACAACGTATTGCTCGAGAGAGCCAGTGTTTTATACTTGTAATTTGTTACACAAGAAAAAAAGAGGACTCCTGAGACATGGGGTAGGTATTATATTGCCTACATGTCTTGGGGATAGACCATCACTTGAACTGTAATTGCCAGATGGGTTCTTCCTGCTCACTGCACAGACAAAAATCAGTCCACTGAGACTGTGGCATGCAGTAAAGAAAGAGTTTAATTGATGCCAGGCTGGTCACAACATGTGGGAGACAGAGTTATTACTCAAGTCAATCTCCCTGAAGGCTCAGAAGTTAGGGGTTTTACAAGGATAAAAGGGTGGACAGGGGGCGAAGGAAGAGGGCATGCTGACTGGCATGGGAAGAGGGCAAGCTCCTATGATTGGGATGCAATCACAGGAGTGTGGAAAACAGTCCTTGTAGGCTGAGTCTACTTCTAAGTGGGGGCCACCAGAGGAGTTGCTGGTCTGGGTGGGGCTGTCCGGTAGTCAGAAATGAAAAAGCATGAAAAGACATCTCAAAAGGCCAATTGTAGGTTCTATAATAGTGATGTTATCTGCAGGAGTAATCGGGGAGGTTGCAAATATTGTGACCTCCAGAATAATGGCTGGTAATTATTTAACTATGACTAAATCTTAGTAAAATTCAATCCCCTCTCATCCTCCTAACTTGGAAGACTTTCATTAATTTTACAGGGGCAGTTTAGCTTTTTGGAAGAGCTAGTATCATTTAAACTATAAACTAAATTCCTCCCAAAGTTAGTTCGGCCCTCACCCAGGAATGAGTGAAAAACAGCCAGCCTGTGAGGCTAGAAGCAAGATGGAGTCAACCATGTCAGATTTCTCTTACTGTCATAATTTTGCAAAGGCAGTTTCAGAGCCACTCCCGAAGTGGTAGGAAGGTGTGCAAATTATGGGTTTGTCATATGCTTCTCATATTCATGAAGAAATATGCATATGTAATACAAGAAAGATGTAATTTTGAACCAATGGGACTTTTAAATATTTCCTCCTAGGTTGGACACCGAGGAACAATAAAAGATTATCCAGGCTTTAGCGCATCTGTGGATGCTGAAGCTATTCGGAAGGCAATCAGAGGAATTGGTGAGTGATATTTTACAATTCCTTTCTTAATGTTGAAGCAAATCAGGCAAGTTACAATCTAAAAGTTCGGTTTGCTCAGGTTGGCTTACTCAATTAGATAAATTGTCAGGGATTTTCTAAAATTGTGAAACAATGAGGAAATATATAGAAAACCCAGTTTTATTAAATTTTAACATTTATCATACTTACTTAATGATATTGGTGGTCTAGGGGAGGTCCCCACATGCCGGTGGGATCTCGACCCTGGCTGGTATCCAGGCTCTTGACATCATCTAGAGAAAAAAATCAAGAATGGGTCAGAAAATAGTGAAAGTACAGAGATTTATCACAAAGTGAAAAGTACACACTCAAGAAAGGGGAGTGTGAGTGTACTCAAGAGAGAGTTGTGCATAAGCAGGTTTGGGGCTGTTGCCTTTATGGGTTTCTTTAACCAGGGGGTGGAATAGTCATGAAGATTCCTGGAAAAAGATGAAGATTTCTCAGAGCTGTGGTGCCACCCTTTTTTACACCAAATGTCGGTATTCCAGGAAGTGCCCCGGCACTGGTGGGTGTGTGATTGAGTATGTTAATTAGTATATTATGAAATCCTAGGAGAAACCTAAGTCAAATCTAGTGCCATGTTGGATCCAGTAGGTCTTAGCCAGCTTTATCTACACTGTGGGTTTTCAGGGTCATATCAGTCCCTAGCCTCTAACTATTTCAACAGTTTCCTTTTGCTAGTCATGCGAAACTGCTGCCTGGAATTTTCTATTCTCCTGTGACCACCCTGTATTAGTCCTGTCTAACCACCACTGCTACAAACAACAATAATCACCATCATCATAAATCATTACAAATATGGCCCCCTTGGCCAGGCATGGTGGCTCATGCCTGTAATCCCAGCACTTTGGGAGGGCAAGACAGGAGAATCCCTAGAATCCAGGAGTTCAACACCAGCCTAGGCAATATAAGGAGACCCCTTCTCTACAAAAAAATTTAAAAATTAGCTGGCTCTAGTGGCTTGGGCTTTTGATCCCACATATTGGGAGGCTGAGGTAGGGGACTACTTTGAGCCAGGGAGGTTGAGGCTGCAGTGATCTGTGATTGTGCCACTGCATTTCAGCTGGGATGACAAAGTGACAGTCTATCTCAAAAACAAAACAAAACAAAACAAAAAACAACAACAACAAAAATACAATCTTGTCAGTTCTTCCTGGATTTCTTCACTCTTGCCCCTTTTCCAAGAGATAAACATCATCCCAAATTAGAGTTCATTCCCATGAAACTTTTAATACCATAACTACATATATATGTACATACTGTTTTGCATGGTTTCAAACAGTATAAAATGAAATCATACTTATACATTCTTCTGCAACATTTTTTATCCCTTAACATTATATTTTTGAGATTTATCCATGTTGATATGTTTAGCTCTAGTGCATTAATTTTAACTGCGTGAAAGTCTATTGCATCACTATATCAGAAGATGGGATTATTGATGGGACATTTAAGTTGCCTACAATTCTTTTATATTGCAATATAAAAATGCTACAATGAATATTCCTCTTTTGTCTCATTGTGCGTATTTGCTAGCATTTCTCTAGAATATGACAGGAACTGGAATTTTCACATTGACAGGGATGCTTATCTTCAAATTAACTGGAAATTGTGCCATACTTCTCTCTAAAATGAATGTAGAAATTAGCATTTCCTCCAGCATTGTACAAGACTTTCTTTTGCTCTATATTCCCCCCAATACTTGCTACCATAAGACTATTCCATTTTTCCTAATTAAGCGGGCCTAAATGGTATCTTATTCTGCATGTGTGTTTATTTCCTCTCTTTACCCCGATGACTAATGCAGTTAGGCATCCTTATTTGTATATCTGCTTCCACTTTCATGCATCAATAAAATATAAAATATATTTTATCTATTTTTTTCAGTTGGTTTGTCTTCTTTATGATTGGCAAGAGCTTTTTAAAAATTTCTCAATACAAACTTTTAAAAAAAGATTACAAGCCATGAAAATATTTCCTATAAATGTATGGTTTTCTTTTAACATTGGTGACATGGTTTGGCTCTGTGTCCCCACCCAAATCTCATCTTGTACCTCCCATAATTCCCACATGTTACAGGAGGGACCTGGTGGGAGATGATTGAATCATGGGGACAGGTCTTTCCTGTGCTGTTCTCATGATAGTGAATAAGTATCACAAGATCTAATTGCTTTATAAAGTGGAGTTTCCTTGCACAAGCTCTCTCTTTGCCTGCAACCATCCATGTAAGATGTGACTTGCTCCTCCTTCCCTTCTGTCATGATTGTGAGGCTTCCCCAGCCATGTGGAACTGTGCATTCTCCATTAAAACTCTTTCCTTCATAAATTGCCCACTCTAGGGTATGTCTTTATCAGCAGCATGAAAATGGACTAACACAATAGGTTACAGTAATTTTTATTGCATAGAAGTTTTAAATTTTAGTGAGATCAAGTTTACCAATATTTTAGTCCAGGATTTATGCTTATTGAATCTTTTCTGTAATGAAGTCATAAAGATAGACATTCTCTTACATTTTTTCTTCAAAGTTTTGAAATTTTATTTTTCACATTATGATGTTTAATCTATATGGAATTAATGTTTGTGGATGATATTTAAAGGTGTCTCATTTTATTCTATTTCATGTGGATGTTTAATTTCCCCAGAACAGTGTATTGAAGAGTTTATTCTTTTCACACTGATTTATATGTAATATCACCTGTTTCATGTTTTCCTGTTTTTCTCTTCTGTTATGTTGCACTTATCTATTTGCCTTTCCTGACACCACATTGTCACAATTATTAGGATTATATAATGACACTAAATTTCTACCGGGCAAGGTTTTTCTTGGCTCTTTGTCCTCCTCTATGAATTTTTAAATCAGCTTGTCAAATTCCATAAGATACACTATGTTAGAACTTTATATCAATATAATATTATCTTATTTCTGCCTGTTTGAGTTTTATTTTTTGCATTGTTCAATGTAGGTTATTTCTTAATTTACCTCTTGATTGCCCTATTTCTTTTTTTTAAGAGAGAGGGTCTTGCTCTGTCACCTAGGCTTCAGTACAGTGTTATGATTATAGCCTACTGAAGCCTCAAACTCCTGAGCTCAAGGGACCCTACAGCCTCAGCCTCTGGTGTTGCTAGGACTACAGGTGCTCATCACATTGTGTGGCTAATTTTTAAATTTTTTTGTAGTGACAGGGTCTTGCTATGTTGCCCAGGCTAGTCTTGGACTCCCGGACTCAAGCAATCCTTCTGCCTTGTCCTCCCAAAGTGCTGGGATTATAGATGTAATCCACTGCACCCAGCCTGATTGCCCTATTTACATCTATTGTTAAGCAGACTGTTCCATGAGATTAGTGCCAAACTGAATGAATTCATAGTCTTTAAATTGTGTTGCCTCTTTTTTAACATTATGTTTCTTCATGAATTTGCACTTTGACCTATAGGCCTTCTTTAAGAAGGAGGTTATTTTTTGTGAGCACCACTTCTGATACATTCTGAGTCCAGAACCAGGTGTCATAATGAGATTTGCATTAGGGATATATCAGACCCAGTCTCTGAACCTGGGGCATCTTGGTTTGGTTGCTGATCTTGAGCATGTTTAAGAATAAGAGATGAGAACTGCCAGGCATACAAGCTACACATAACTGCAGGTAGCTTGGTATATTTCTAGTCTAGGTGCATAGGTTATAGCGATGCAGAGAGCGGGTAGAAGATGAGAACAGAGACATAATGCAGGAGAGATCATAAAGAGCTGATATATGAGCTAAGGGGCTTAAACTACATCCTGAAGATTACAAAGAGCCGTTAGAATTTTGGCCAAGGAGATGACATGATCAGACTGTATTTTTAAACGTTTACTTAGGCAGTAGAATACAGGAAGAATTATATGGGGGTCATGTTAGGAGGTGATTTAGGTTATCCAGGTAAAATATGATAAAGGCACAGTGGCAGAGGGCATGCAGAGGAGATGACAAATTTAAGAGATGTAGATACTTGCTATAATATAGGGAATAAGATAAGGAAAGGAATCTGAGATGATTTCTGGGATTTTTGCCTGGATGACTATATCCATAGTTGTGGACGAGGGAGCATAGAAAGAAAGACAAGTCAGAAAGGAAATGGAATAAATTCCACCCAGAACATGCTGAGTCTGAGGTATTTGTGTAGTTGAGGTGGCTGGTACTGTACTGACACGAATGCTGTGATGGGTCCAAGTTGGCACTCAGCCCCACAGAGCACAAATTCATTTTAATCTGATTCGGTATTTACTTAACTATGTACAAGAATACAAAACCAAAGACATAGAAGGGCAGCAACCTTCATTGGGAGGCCCAGCAGCTAATCAAGTACACAGAAGCTTTTGCCTCATCATTGATGTAAGTTAGGCACCACTGCCGTGGAAGCATGTAGATGAGGTCTGTGAGGGTCACCTTGACACAAAGAAATTGAGTGTTGAGTTTCTGGTGCTTTTTTTTTTTTTTTTTTTTTTTTGAGATGGAGTTTCGCTCTTGTTACCCAGGCTGGAGTGCAATGGCATCATCTCGGCTCACCGCAACCTCCGCCTCCTGGGTTCAGGCAATTCTCCTGCCTCAGCCTCCTGAGTAGCTGGGACTATAGGCACGTGCCACCATGCCCAGCTAATTTTTTGTATTTTTAGTAGAGATGGGGTTTCACCATGTTGACCAAGGATGGTCTCGATCTCTTGACCTCGTGATCCACCTGCCTCAGCCTCCCAAAGTGCTGGGATTACAGGCTTGAGCCACCGTGCCCGGCTCTGGTGCTCTTTTATACCTCTCTAGTCATGTGTGCTCTAGGCCTGCAAGCCAATTCACAGCTTCCCCACCCAGGTATTGTCCTGGGTTGGGAAATTCATTAGATACAACTTTCCACATTTATCTTAATACTATAGTCACCAAGATAAGAGTGACCTTGAGGTCATTCTCAGGCAGGCCAGCATCAGCTCTGGCCTGATGTTACCTTTCACTTACAAAAAGCTGATTTTGTATATGGGTTTGAAATTCATGAGAGAGGCCAGGCATGGTGGCTCACCTGTGTAATCCCAGCACCTTAGGAGGCTGAGGCGGGTGGGTCACCTGAGGTCAGGAGTTCAAGACCAGCCTGACCAACACGGTTAAACTCTATTTCTACTAAATATAAAAAATTAGCTGGGTGTGGTGGCACACACCTGTAATCCCAGCTACTTGGGAGGCTGAGGCAGGAGTATCACTTGAACCTGAGAGGTGGAGGTTGCAGTGAGCCGAGATCCTGCCAGTACACTCCAGCCTGGGCAAGAAGAGTGAAATGAGAAGGAAGAAAGAAAGAGAGAGAGAGAGAGAGAGAGAGAGAGAGAGAGAGAGAAAGAAGGAAAGAAGAAAAGAAAGAAAGAAGAAAGAAAAAGAAAGAAAGAAGAAAGAAAGAAGAAAGAAAGAAAAGAAAGAAAGAAAGAAAGAAAGAAAGAGAAAGAAAGAAGAGGAGGGAAGGGGAGGGGAGGGGGAGATGTGAAGTGAACCAGAGATATATGTTTTGTTGGAGGTCAGAGTTTTGGGTTCAACTTCTTGCTGCACCACTCAGGAGTTGTGTGACTTTGGATAGGAAGATAAGTTTGTGCTTCATTTTTAGTACAGCTTAATCCTATCTACCACACAGAGCCCCTGTGCATATTAACTATGACAATGAATAAAAGGGTGCTTCGTGCAGGGCAGGTTCTCAATAAGTGTTGGTTCCTGTTTTCCAGAGGAAGAAAGATTTTCATATCAAGTATGGGATAGAGATAAAAGCAGTAAGACAGTAACCAAAGCTTGTAAAGGTAAACAAGTCAAGTTCAAAAGTAGTAGATTCTTTGTACTATTCCCTCTGTCTGATGTACCGATAGGAGTATTTAGACAATGATTGTTTTCTTCTCCTAAAACTATCCAAATAAAGTTAACTTTCTTTTTCAAAACTTAGGCATACAAAAAAATAAACAAGATTCCAACCAGGTAAGAAGCTGGAAATTAAAATGCCTTACTCTCTGCACTTGTCTCAGGCCATTGATCATTTTGCTTTTGTTCAAGGCAAACATTGAGCATAAATATTGAGTAAAATAATTTTTGTTTCATTTAGGAACTGATGAGAAAATGCTCATCAGCATTCTGACTGAGAGGTCAAATGCGCAGCGGCAGCTGATTGTTAAGGAATATCAAGCATCGTACGGAAAGGTAAGATCATGTTGACATGACAGGCAGTAAGGAGGTCATCATTACAGTGCCATGGTCGCTCCCACGTGGTTGTGCCCACAGTCTTCTGTTTCAGGCTGAGTGTAGCAGAAGATGCCCTGTGCATCCAGTCAGGAGCCTAGAATGCGAGTCCTGGTTTTGCCTTGAACTGGCTGACTGGCTTTGGGCATGTTACTTGGTCTTTCTGAGCCTCAGTTCCTTCACCTGCAGAATAAGGAGGTTTGCCTTAGCTCAGTGGGTTATAAATCAGAAGTGATTTTGCTCCCCAGGGGACACTTGGCATGAATGGAGACGTTCTGATGATCACAATGGGATGGTGGGGTATACTTCCAGCATGTAGTAGGCATAGGACAGGGATGCTACAAGTATCCGAGAATGCACAAGGCAGCCCTCCACAACAAAGAATTACCAGGCCAACTATCTGACTAATTCTAGCTTAGATAACCTTTTATCTCTCTTTTAATTTTAAAATAGTTATGTAGTTATAGGTCTAATTCATTCAGCAAATGAAAATTTAGTAAGTAGTAGAAACTGTATAAGAACAAGTAACTTTGAGAGGCCAAGGCGGGTGAATCACCTGAGATCAGGAGTTCAAGACCAGCCTGGCCAACATGGTGAAACCCCATTTCTACTAAAAATACAAAAATTTGCCTGGCATGATGGCACGCCCCTGTAATCCCAGCTACTTGGGAGGCTGAGGCCTGAGGCAGAAGAATCACTTGAACCTGGGAGGCAGAGGCTGCAGTAAGCTGAGATTGATGATTATTCCAACCTGGCTGACAGAAAGAGACTCCGTCTCAAAAAAAGAAAAAGAAAAAGAAATGTAAGACTTGGTCTTTGCCACATGGTTGATTGTCCAACACCTATTTTTGGGTACTACTTTGTGTCAGGAGATATCCTAGACATTGGAGATATACTGGTATAAAAAGCAGATCCTTCCTTCTTTCATTGAACTAACATTCTCTAGAATACAATAAACAAGTAAGTAAAAATAAGACGTTCAGATGTGATAAGTGATATGAGAGAACTAAAATGGTTGATACAATAAACAATGGCCGATGACTGGCTCTTGCAGATAGGGGGATGAAGGACTGTCAGTGAGGGTTTGGTACCTTACTCCCCACTCAGCCTGAACGATAATAGGGGGTTCTGCTCTGCTTGATCAGTGGGAGATAGTATTTAAGATACAGCAGTCCGGGCGCTGTGGCTCAAGCCTGTAATCCCAGCACTTTGGGAGGTCGAGGCAGGCGGATCACGAGGTCAAGAGATCGAGACCATCCTGGTCAACATGGTGAAACCCCATCTCTACTAAAAATACAAAAAGTTAGCTGGGCATGGCGGTGCGTGCCTGTAATCCCAGCTACTCAGGAGGCTGAGGCAGGAGAATTGCCTGAACCCAGGAGGCGGAGGTTGCGGTGAGCCGAGATCGCGCCATTGCACTCCAGCCTGGGTAACAAGAGCGAAACTCCGTCTCAAAAAAAAAAAAAAAAAAAAAAATACAGCAAATACAAAAGCCCTGAAGCAAAAACAAGCTGGGAATTTATGTGAGAAATAAAGAATTCCAATATGGCAGGAATGTAGATAGTGAAGGGGGCAGAAGAAGAAAGAGATGAGGCCAGAGAGAGGTTGAGAACATACTAAGCCTTGGGTCTTGGTAGAGTTTAGATTTTATCCTAAGGGCTACAGGGAACCACTGGAGGTTTGTAAGCAGAGGAATAATATAATGCAGTTTTTATTTTTAAAGGATTATTTTGGCTGCTATGGATAATGAACTGTGGAGGGAAAAGGTAGAAATGGACTGGGCTGACTGTTGAGAGGGTCTAGTGACCATCCACAGGCAGCTCAGGAATTACCTCCTAGGAGTGTTCTCCAGGCCCCCAGACTCCATTAAGACACCCTTCTCTGAGGTCCCATTATCAGAAACTTAACGTATTATATTGAAATTTTATCTTTGAATATTTCTGCTTTTCCCATTAGGGCAGGATGTCTTGGGATAAGGACCTTGTATAACTTACCTTTAAAGTTCTAGCACAGAGCAGATGCCCAGAAAACAACTGTTGAATTGAATTAATTGCCTAGCTTCTGGGCAAGACAGCACTTTCACATATAGAGAAGGTGAATTATCTATTGGCCTTTCAGTGTTTCCAAAATCTGGAAGGAAGATAGAGGTGGAGGGAACAACCATTTCTCACAGTGAAATAGAATGAGATCTGTGAAATAATAAGATTCAGCTGCAGTGGCTTGGATTGAGGACAGATGGTAGTGAACTTTACCATTTAGAGAGAAAAAAAGAAACCTGTGGCAATTAAAGCAGCGCTGATAACACTGAACGCCATCCTATTTGTTTCAGCAGGAACATGCCCCTGCTGCACCCCCAGGGGTGTGGTAGTGTTGGTCTGTGCCCACAGCGGTGCAGCAGGCTCAGAGGCTACCAGCCTCTGTTTCAGAGCTGAAAATAATCAGGAGCAGGAACAAACATTACTCAGTATTATGCTTGTGAATATTGAAAAGAGAAACCTTGTTACCTTCCTTTAAGCAGGGGAGATGGACTGTACTTATGTGTGAAAACAGTGCTGTAAACAATGTTAACAGGTAACACCCATAAAAGACTAAGTTCTAGAGTGCCATCACCCTGTAGGATGACTATAGTTAACAATAATATAGTTTCAAATAGCTAGAAGGAGGATATTCAATGTTCCTAACACACACAAAAAAAAGGTTAAATGTTTGAGATGCTGGGTATGCATTTACCTTGATCTGATTACCATACATTATGTGTATCGAAACATCGCTATGTACCTTATGAATATATACAATGATTATTTGTCAAAACAAATAAGTCTAACATATTGCCACACTTAGGGTTTCTTTTTCTTTACTTGTTGCCAGAAAATTGCTTCTGATGCCACCTAGTTACATGTTCTCACCCGAGACAAATGACTGGCTACTGTCATCTTTGCCCCTTCCTCTTGGAGCTCTTTGGGGGTCACTGAGAAGCAAGACACCTAGGAATAGAGCACCTTCCAGTGAAGCTGGGTGTGCATTTATAAGGGTTCCTCTTCCTCTTCCCTCACCCCAACCCAAGCATTGAAAGCATGGAGGACCTGGGAAATGCATTTTAATGTAGTTCCTCACTGTGACCCTCATGGAATCCTATTTGGCTCTCCTTCAAAAAACCTCTACAAAATAGAACAATTTGGGAGTAATTATAAAATGTAGATTAATATCCATAGAAATATTTTCAATACTTCTGTTTATTCCCTGTGGATGGACATGTTTTGTCTGATTTTGTTACATATGTTCATCTTTCACTAGGTGACTTCAGAAAATGAAAATGGAAAAGTATTTCACATTTTTCTCCTTGTCTTTTTCATTTTAGGAGCTGAAAGATGACTTGAAAGGTGATCTCTCTGGCCACTTTGAGCACCTCATGGTGGCCCTAGTGACTCCACCAGCAGTCTTTGATGCAAAACAGCTAAAGAAATCCATGAAGGTATGAGCCCCCTACAAGCCATTTCTGCTCAGGGTTTGACCAAATCATCAAAAATAGTGACTTTCTTACAGTGCACACTTGTGTTGGGGGGACTTGGATGCCATTTTGGTCTGCACTCTCCCAGTGGTAGAATGACTCTGAAATAGGAAACAGTTGTAGAACCTTAAGCCCAAATGTTCCTGGGCTGGAAGAATTTTGTCATATCCTTTGTTTGACATGAAGAATCAAGTTCTCTAGTTTGTCATCATTGAAAGTAAATGGCACTGTCATTAACCCCATCACTCAAGCTAAAAACCTAGCATTATCCTTGAGCTCTCGTTTTTTCTTACCATTCCAAGCTCCCAAATCTATCAGGAAGTTTATTAATTTTATTTCAAAGTCCATTGCTACTGTTCTAGTCTGACCACCATCATCTCTTGACTGGATCATATCAATAGCCTTCTAATTGGTCCTTTTGCCTCCATTTTTGCCCACCTCAAATTCATTTGACACAGAATAGCCAAAATTATTTTTATTAATTTATTTTAAAAATCAGATTATGCTATTTACATGCATAAATTTCCAATAGCTTTGAACACTTAAATTCAAGCTTCTTATCATGACCTTCATCACCCAACATAGCGCAGCTCCTGTGTAACTCTGGGATTTTTAAAAATTCTATCTATATCAGTGAGGGTTCCCCAGAGAAGTAGAACCTATAGGCAGGACATAGTTGTTAAAAGATTTATTGTAAGGCCAGGTGCAGTGGCTCATGGCTGTAATCTCAATACTTTGGGAGGCCAAGGTGGGTAGAGTGCTTGAGCTCAGGAGTTGGAGGTCAGCCCGGGCAACTTGGAGAAACTCTGTCTCTACAAAAAATTTAAAAAAAAAAATAATAACTAGGCATAGTAGTGCATGCCCTATAGTCCCAGCTACTTGGGAGACTATGGTGGGAGGATCCCTGAGCCCAGAAGGTTAAGGCTGCAGTGAGCTGTGATTGTGCTGCTGCAGTTTGGTCCAGGTGACAGTAAGATCCTATCTCAAAAACAAACAAACAAAAAAAATGTATTAGAAAGAACTGGAGGCCATGGTGGGAGGATCATTTGAGCACAGGAGTTTGAGACCAGCCTCAAACTGAGCAACATAGTGAGAACTCATCTCTACAAAAAAATTTTTTAAACCAGGCATGGTGGTTCATGCCTGTAGTCCCAGCTATTTGAGAGGCTGAGGTGGGAGAATCACTTAAGCCCAGCAGGTCTAGGCTGCAATGAGCCACGACTGTGCCACTGCACTCCAGCCTGGGCAACAGAGTGAGACCCTGTCTAAAAAAAAAAGAAGAAGAAGAAAGAATTGGTTACATGATTATGGGACTGGTTAGGCAAGTTCAAAATCTGTAGGACAGGCTGTCAGGAAAGGCAGGCTGGAATTCTTGGGCACCAGTCGAAGCTGCTGTCCACAGAAATAATTGTCTTCACAGAAGCCTCACCTCTGCTCTTAAGACCTTTCAACTGATTGGATCAGGCCTGACTAGAAAAGGTAATCTCCCTTACTTAAAGTGAATCAGTAATAAACTTAAATTTTATCTACAAAATACCTTCACAGCAACACCTAGATTCGTGTTTGATTAAGTGGCACTATAGCCTGGCCAAGTTGGCACATAAAACTGACTTTCATACCCCCTCCTCCTCATTCATTAATGATGTAGCTACACAAGCCTTTCCTCTGCTCCTCGAACATCATAAGCTTATTCTTGTTTGAGATCTTTATACATGATGTTTCTTCCATCTGGAATGCTTTTCCTCCAGATATTTTCCATTATTTCACTCAAATATATTTTCTTAGCTGCATTTGCTACTGTCTAAAAGTATCTTGTCTATTTATTTATTTTTGAGACAAGGTCCCTCTTCATTGCCCAGGCTGGAGAACAGAGGTGAAATTGTGGATCACTGCGGCCTCGACCTCCCGGGCAAGCAATCCTCCCACTTCGGCCTCCTAAGCAGCTGGAACTACAGGGACACATTATCACACCTGGCTAATTAAACATTTTTTTTTTTAGAGACAGGGTCTCACTATGTTGCTCAGGCTGGTCTCAAACTCCTGAGCTCAAGCAATCCTCCCTCCTTGGCCTCTCAAAGTACTGGGATTACAGGTGTAAGCCACTACACCTGGTTTTGTCTATTTTTAAAATCCATTTGTTTATTATCTTTTCATCTAACTAAAAGGCAAACCTCCACCCTGGCAGGGAACCTGGTGGGTCTTGGCCTGTATCTTCTGTTCCTAGAGCAACTCCTGAAATGAAGTGGGTGCTCAACATATTAACTAATAGGAAGGAGGAACAAGAAGAGACCCTAGATCTGATTCTGCCTTGCTCTCAGGGAATTGAGTTACCTCTTTCTGTGGAGGACATATGGGCATCTGAGAAGCAGATGCAAAATGGAATTTGATGTACAAAAGATTTATCGTGAGAAATGCCTGTGAAGGATAAAGGGGAAGAGAGCAGGGTAGGTGGGGTGAACCTTCAGACTGCAGTGCAGTCCTGACCTTTAAGAGGAGAGGGGAGAGGAAGTAGGCTGAGATAGGAGGAGCCTCAGTGCATAGTGCAGCTCCCAGAAAGCTTTGGCAGGCTGTGGGGGAGCCCCTGAGCAAAAACTGCCCTTTGGGGGAGTTCTGTGTGGACACAAGTGGCCCAGCTCTGGTACCCCTGCTGATTGCAGTCGTTGGCTGATGGTCCCCTGGAGAGAGCATGACCTCAGTGTGAACTCTGGTAGATCCAAAGTTGTGGCAGTTGGAAGCTGTTTTTGCAATTGTTTCTATTGAAGTGAAATCTGAGCATTATATATCTATGGCATCCCATGAGGAGGGTTTAGCAGGTGTAATTGTAAGGATTAGGTTCACCAATTAGTGTTAAAACAGTTTCTCTTTTACACAAAAGAAATCCAGAGTAAGCAGCCCTGAACAGGCTGTGGTGGCACCACCATTATCAGAGACTCAGGCTCCTATCTTGGGGCTATGCCATCTTTAACCCATGGTTTTCACTTTCTGGTTAAAGATGGCAGCTCAAGACTCAGCCATTATATCTTCATTCCAGTCAACTCAAAAGAGCAAAGGACAAGGAAGGGTTCACTCTTTCACTCTAAAGATACTTCCTGAGCATGCATATGATACTTCTGCCTATATCCCATTGGTCAGAGTTTAGTTACATTCACTGTAAAGGAAGCTGAGAAACATAGCCTTTATTTGGGTAGCTTTGTACCAAGTTAAAAATTGGGGGTTCTATTACTAAGCAAGAAAGACAAAAGAGATATTGTGGGAAACTAGGAATCTCTGCCACAGAGAGACAGAATTCAGTCTCTGTTCATATGCTGCACTGGCCTTATTTGATCAAGTCTTAATGTACATGACTTTTCTTGGAGTCACAGTGTGATTCAGTAACCTTGATAAAAAAGGGCTGAGAGGTAATTAGTCCCCATGCAAGCCGGGCGCCTGACACACATTACTGAGGATTTGAAAAGCTCTCTGTATGAAGAGGATGATACATGCTGATAGACCCAGTACAGTGATACAAGGATAAACTCATTCAAAAGTATTGTAGAGCCTTTTATAAACATAGTGGTATGTTTGAATGTTGGTAGGGTTAATCCTGTTAGACTATCACTTCTGATCTTGAATGACACAGGCTTTTTCCTTTATGCTATTTCTTCCTAGAATTATTTAACTGATTTTTACACTAGAGTGAAAAATTTGATGTCACTTTATTCCAAATGATTTATGTTATTTTAATACTAAAATATATGGAAAAATGAAAACTACTTTAAAGCAATAGAGAACCTTGTATTGGTTTACTCAAAAGTATCTTTCATCTATATAAAACAAGATATTAAAGACCAAAAGGCATGAGATTTAAGTTTTTTAATTGCTCTAAAAATCTGATTTTCTTTTCATTTTTAGGGCACTGGAACAAACGAAGATGCCTTGATTGAAATCTTAACTACCAGGACAGGCAGGCAAATGAAGGAGATCTCTCAAGCCTATTACACAGGTATCTTATTTCCTGTTTACCTTCACCACCGTTCACACATACTCGAACCAATGTTCTTTTCCCAGAATCCCCCCAATCTCTTCATGAGGCATTTTGAGAAGACAAGACTTATAAAGAGGAGAACACCTAAAATCAACTAAAAACTATTGGATTCCAGGAAAAATTGAAATGTGATCTGAGCTAGAGACTGCTACATAATAATGTCATTAATGCTTTACATTTATAATATTATAGCTGCAGCAGATTTTGCTCTCAGCAATCTCTCATTAATTGAATTAACCATTTTCATCAATGTAAGAGACTCAAATCATATTTTATTATTAGGTGTTAAAAACCAGTCAGATTAGATCCATGATTTTTTGGTGTGGGAAATTAGATTAATTTAGAGGATGTGTTGAGCATAAGAATTCAGTAGAATTAGCTGAAGACCTAATAGTCTGCTGGTTGTATAAAATTAGAAAGTCTCTGCAATGCAGTTCTGACTCTTAACTACCCAGGTTTAGTGCAGACTTCACTGGTTAAGGTCACAGTCCCCACAAGACTACCTTTACCTCAAACACCAGCCCACAAGCTCAGGTGTTCCCAGGCTATGCATGCTTTTAACCAACTGGCTCCAAATTCAGGGTTCTCACTACCCTCTCAGGTTCAAAAGCACACTAGAATGACACAGAACTCAAATATTGGTAAATGCAGTATTACTATAAAGGAAACAAATCAGGGTCTGTGTAGGGAGAGATTTAGAAGGGTCCAGTGGGAGCTTCCACCCTTCTGAAATATTGATGTATCATTATCAATCAGCAAGCTCACTTGATATTGATAGTCTTAGTTTTTATTAGGGTTTCATTATAGAAGCATGATTGATTGAACCATTTTTCATGTGATTAAATTCAATCTCCAGTCCCCCTACACTCCCCAGAGGTCAGACTGATATCGTAGCTCAAAGCCTCAACCCTTTAATCACATGGTTAGTCTTTCTGATGTGACCAGCCTTTATTGTGAGTCATCTTTTTAGCATAACTGAGCTGTAGTCCAGGGGACCCACCATGAATAGTAAAGACACTCCTATGACTTGGGAAATACAAAGGATTTAGAGTTTATCTCCCAGGAACCAGGAACAAGACCAGCCTAATTCTTTACTATTCAACAGCCCCGTAGAACCCTCTCCAACCCTCTTTAAGGGAGCCACAGTTTCTGTATTTGTGTCTCACGGAGGTCAGTTGTGTCACGACAGCTTTTGCAGTGGGAAAGGCCCAAAGAAGGAGTACATATTGGTCCTCAGATGGGTGTTAAAGAGAGTGCTTTGGAAAATTCTTGTTAAAAGGTAAATACCTCAATAACAAGTGACTCTTTTGTTATTGATGTATTAATTGGGTTCTAATCAGAAAAACAGAAACAGCCCTAGGTATTTTAACAGAGAGAATGTAGCATAAAGCGTTGCTTAAATTGGGCACAGTGGCTCACGCCTGTAATTCTAGCATTTTGGGAGGCTGAGGTGGGCAGATTGCATGAGTGAAGGAGTTTAAGACCAGCCCAGGCAACATGACAAAACCCTGTCTCTTAAAAAACATATACCAAAAATTAGCCAGGTGGTCCCAGCTCCTCAGGAGGTTGAATTGGGAGGATCACTTGAGTCTAGGAGATTGAGGCCACAGTGAGCCTTGATCATGCCACTACACTACAGCCTGTATTGGAAGAAGAAGAAGAAAAAAAAAAAAAGAATTGCTAAACACCTTTCAGAGGACTGAAAAAGCAAAAAGGGAACACAGGGATTCATGCAGAGTACAACTCCCCGGAGCTGGGAAAACAACAGAAAGTGTTTGAAGTTGTCAGAAACTAGAAGTTAGAAGAGGGACATACCTGGCTGATGTCAGTACCTCAGGGGCTCAGAGCAGAGGCTTAAGGAGCAGGAATTGAGACCTATTAAAAGAGGGCTCCATCTGGCTGAAGCTGGTACCTCCATGGGGGCCAAAGTGACTTGTTCTAAGAGCCTGGAGCCAGTTGCTGGTGTCAGGGTGAAAGGCCTTCCCTGGGTTGACACTGACATGAATAGCCACTGACTACCTCGCACTTCGTTCCACCCCCTGCCTTCCCATCCTCCTCTCCTCCCCACTGCTGGCGGAACCTCATGGGAAGCGGGTACAGAAAGAAGTAGACAAGAGAATTGCTTAATCATTAATGCACCAAAGGGCATGTTGTAGGTGTTTAAAGTATTTCAGTTCAACAAGGTTTGCATATTTTACAAAACCCATCAGAGCCAGGCACTGTATCTCAAGGTGGCTTGGTATTTTCTGGTGTTTCTTAGAAGAGCTGCTGCTCCCCAAGTGGACCTGCCCTATGACAGATCCCTGGAGCCCGGCATTTAGGTACAAACAGTCCCAGGATGTACGCTTTATGAGGATGAAGGTTTTTGTCTATGTTGTTCACTGCTGTGTTCTCAGTTCCAAGAACAGTGGGGGAGATAAGTGTAAATATTTATTAAATGAGTGTCTTCAAAATTGAGGTTAAGGTCTTAAGAGCCAAATGAAACTTCTAGCATCCAGGATAGTGTTTTGCAGTTATGACAAATGATAATAGCACAAAGTTACCAGAGCCACAATTTCCATGTGAGCAACACTGGCTAAGGTTATAAGGGATACTACTGCATCAGGGTTACCTTGGTTACCAGAGATTAATGATACACAAGAAAATCAAGAAGGAAATTGTCTCAATCATGCATAGCCAAGCTTTACAGAGATTCCAGTCACAGCACTACCTGAGGGACCCAGGTATCTTGTCAGTCTCTTGGCAGCTGGCGTCCACTGCCACCTGTGCTAATGTTTTCCATGACAGTAACTGTTCCTCTTCCTTTTTGCTGCCAATGTTCTTGACACCAGAAAGTAACATCTCCTCCCTTACCACATGGTGTTTGTCTACCCAAGCCTTCTAAGTATTGTGCATAGTTTTTGGTTATTTTTGGCTACTGTTTTCGTCATTATTTCTAGGAGTCTTATATTTCTTTGTTAGTCTACTATCTTTGTCTCCTTTTCTGTGTAACTCGCTCCCTAAGAGAGAAGATACAATGGGTTCAGGAAGTCACTGTCAAGTTGGCCCTCGTAACAAGACCAGACACCTTGTATAGCGTATCCAGTGCAGTGGCACAACAGAGTCTAAATAAATAGAGATCTAAATTCTTAACTTTTTCAGTATTCTAAAGTAAATGGTGTGTGAGAGAAACACCGAAACAGGGATCGGGAACTCAAAGTTCTAGTTCTGGCACCTATACCATTAGCATATGATGTTTTTTATTATACTCTACTGTGCCTCAAAATGCATAAAGTCATTGTCGACTTAGATTGAAATAATTTTTTAGTCTAATTTCCCACAAAATATTTGAAGTAAAGGGAGAGGCTGTGTGAAATGACTTATAAAGTCTCATCTAAATAATTTCTAAATTATAAAATACTTCCTCAAGTTCTAACAAATGGGAGCTTCATTCTTTTACTTGATGTTTTCAAATTTAAAGTTTTTTTCTAACTAGAATGAAAGATAGATGTAACAATATCATAACCATTAGGTTTAATGATGCCTACTAAATATTATTATCATTTAGAAAAATAACATTTTTGGTACATTTTACTTAGATGAATTGCTTTGAAAAATTACAGATTTTATTAAAAACAGGTTGAAACTAAAATCATGCTGGGGAAGTTTCCATCTCAACGCAGTTCTTGCTATTGGATAATCTCAGACCACTTTCTATAACTTTCATTGATTTAAAGAATAAGGATTCTCATGACAGATTTTAGAGTTCTTGAGAATGATGCAGACAGATATCCAACAGCCACATGGTGTCGCCTGCAACCAGGTATATAGGGATTCTCCATGAGAATCACCACCCTGTGGATGGGCAGACAGAGATTTAAGACTGATGGGCACTGCACATCACAGGCCATGCAAAAGGGGCTGCAGATAGTCAGTACTAAAATATATGAACACACAGTTGACATTTGTGGAAATGGCATGCTTTGGGGTAGGTTTCTCACTTTTGGGAGATACTAAAAAAATATGGTTTAGTTATATGCATTAAGATTAGGGCTAGATTCAATAAAACAGAAAAATTAAAGTGGCTTACAAAGATAGAAGTTTATTTTTATCATATGTAAAAGTCTAGACATTGGCAATTCTAAGACTAGTATGATAGCAACATAAAGCTTTTAGGAACTCAGGCTTCTTCTTGGTTACTTTCATTCCATCACTAGGAAGTGGTCCTTATCTTCACAGTCCAAGACAGCTGTTGAAGATCCAGATGTGAGTTCACATGCAAGGCAGTCAGATGGAAGATGGACATGGCCTCATCACTTTAGGGAGATTTCCCAGCAAAGTTATATTTGTCTGCTTTTGATTTATTGTGAAGAACTAAGTTATAGAACTGTACTAGCTAAGAGGAAAGCAGAGAATATAGTTTTTAAGCTGTGCACATTGTATCTTGCTTAAGGTTAGTATTCTCTTAGCATGGAAGATGGTCAGAATGGAAATTGAAAGGCAAACTAGTAGCTCATCCACCCCAGCTTTTCCGCTATGCATCCCTTAATGCCATTGTCAGATGAAATAAAGCATGATTTGCTCCAGAATGACAACTCTTTCTATTCTTTCGCATCTACCGTAACACAGTGCAGTAATACTTACAAGAAGAATGTACGATCTCACAACAGAAGAGCATGAAGAAATTCAGTAAAAGGGCAAGATTTATCTTATCACATATCCAGTCTTTGCCAGTATTGGCATTTTAACTTTTCTCTGTTTTATAATCATATTTTTCAGTTTGTCAAGGCTTAATTTCATTCTGATTTGGTTTCAGTATACAAGAAGAGTCTTGGAGACGACATTAGTTCAGAAACATCTGGTGACTTCCGGAAAGCTCTGTTGACTTTGGCAGATGTAAGGTTTTACTTTGTTAACTCCCCAGTAAGCTGAATGCTCAATAATAATTTTTAGAGAGTTTAAAAATAACCCAACTGAAACAATGAGTTCACAGTTTTCCTTATGAAATGTTTGTTCATTTTACATTTTTATTGTTACCAAGCAATATAATGTTTAACCAAGATCATAAAAGCATACATAATAATATAACAACAAAGAAAACTTACCTGAGTCAGTAAATGGAGGTGTTTTGGTCAGGGTTCACAATTTTGACATTAGAAGACATTCTGATACATCATCTGACATAAAATAGTTATTTCCATGATAAGTGTCTCCATTTTAAAGAACAGGTTTATTTTCTTTTGGGCTCCAAAGAATAAATATTTCCTTTTTTTTTTTTTTTTTTTTTTTGAGTGGAGTTTCGCTCTTGTTACCCAGGCTGGAGTACAATGGCGTGATCTCAGCTCACCACAACCTCTGCCTCCTGGGTTCAGACAATTCTCCTGCCTCAGCCTCCTGAGTAGCTGGGATTACAGGCACGCGCCACCATGCCCAGCTAATTTTTTGTATTTTTAGTAGAGACGGGGTTTCACCATGTTGACCAGGATGGTCTCGATCTCTTGACCTTGTGATCCACCCACCTCGGCCTCCCAAAGTGCTGGGATTACAGGTTTGAGCCACCGCGGCCGGCCAGAATAAGTATTTCTTTTGTTAGCTTCTAAATTAAATAGGAAGCATGATATGGAAGAATTATTTTTAGAGATGGAAATTAAGAAATGAGTATCAGTCTCAGGATTTTTAAAAAAAGGAAAATGATTGCTGCAACTTCAGCCTTGCGACCTTGGAAGAGCTGCCAAACCATTAATCATTCTGTGACCTAATGAGGCCACATCTTACTTTCTCTTTTTAGAAGGCTCATGACTTTTATCATAAAGATGGTAAGGTCAAGGATGAGATGTATTCACAGCTGTGTGTAAGAGAGGAAGTGATTTAAGCCACATCTCACCAATTTTCTTTCAGCTGATTTACATAACACCTAGAGTGTGAGAAAATCCCAACAATGGTCTCAGCCTCATGGTTCAAACAGCACTTGTCAAAGTGAGGCAATATGCCATTAGGGAACAATTGATCTAAATTATGGTTTCAGTTACTTTAAATGTGAAAACCTTATGAAGGCTGAACCCACAACCCCAAATATATGAAGCATTGCTGCAAACATGCTCTCAGAGATACGTCTCTGTAAGTGCATCTGTTTGTGTATAGACATGAACACACCCACCCACAGGAGGCAGTATAGAGTAGGGTTCCAGGGCAAGGTTCTAGAATCAAACAGGGCTGGAATCTTATGCTGCCTACTAGCTTTGTGTATTTGGGCAAGTTCTTTAAGTCTCAAAGCATTTATTTTTGTATCTGTAAAACTAAAATACTAATAGGATGTTATGAAGATTAAGAGAAAGAGAAAGTATGTGAAGTACTTAGTGATCAACACATGGTAGTGGTGGTTTGTAAGTATTACATTAAGACCAATGATAATCAGCATTTTTATTATTGGAGCAGAGTGTACAGAACAATAAGAAAGCAAACAGCAACAGAGTATTGGCAGCACAGAAAAGAAACCAGGCAAAAATCAGACAGGCCTACAAGGACCTAATGTTTGAAAATAAGAACAAATTCATTTTTAAACTATTGTAGCTAAATGTTTCATTCATCTGTAATTTGCTAAATAATTCAGGCAATCCTTGTTTCCTTTCTGTCTCCTGTCTTTCTATAATGTGCTTAAGTATTTGTACACAACCACACACACCCACACACATTTAAACAATATATTACAGTTGGTATTGGGATCTTTGAGATTTTTTGTTTGTTTGTTTTTTGGACAGAGTCTTACTCTGTCACCCAGACTGGAGTGCAGTAGAGCGATCTTGGCTCACTGCAACCTCCGCCTGCTGGGTTCAAGTAATTCTCCTACCTCAGCCTCCCTAGTAGCTGGGAATATAGGTGCCCGCCACCTCACCCAGCTAATTTTTGTACTTTAGTAGAAACAGGGTTTCACCATGTTGTCCAGGCTGGTCTCAAACTCCTGACCTTAAGCAATCCACCTGCCTCTTCCTCCCAATGTGCTGAGATTACAAACATGAACCACTCTGCCTGGCCTTTGAATTTTTTTTTTCCAATAAACTTTACTTTTTAGAGCAACTTCAGATTTATAGAAAAATGGAGCAGAAAATGCAGAGAGCTCCCATATGCCCCTTTTACACTCTCTCCTTTCCCCTATTATTATTATCATTGTTATTTTGAGACAGGATCTTGCTCTGTTGCCCCGGCTAGAGTACTGTGGTATGATCCTGGCTCACTGTAGTGTCGACCTCCTGGGCCCAATTAATCCTCCCACTTCAGCCTCCTGAGTAGCTGGGACCACAGGTGCACACCACCACACTCGGCTAATTTTTTTTTTTTTTTTAAGGGAGAGAGAAGGTCTCACTCTTGCATTAATGTGTGTATTTATTATAGTCCAATGAATATTGATACATTATTATTAACTGAAGTTTACAGTTTACATTAGGGTTCACTCCGTCATATGGATTTTAATAAATGTATAATGTTATATGTCTACCATTACACTATAATAGAGTAGTTTCACTGTCCTAAAAATCCTCTGTGCTCTGCCAATTCACCCTCCCTCCCCACCAACAACTGATCTTACTGTCTCTATAGTTTTGCCCTCTCTAGAATGTCCTATAGTTGTAATCATATTGTATGTAGCCATTTCAGACTGGCTTCTTTCATTTAGCTATATGCTTTATTTAAGGTTCTGCTATATCTTTTCATGGCTTGATAGCTCACTTATTTTTAGTACTAATATTCCATTGTAAAGAATATTAATTTCACCTGCTGAAAGGCATCCTGGTTGCTTCCAAGTTTTGGCAAGCATTATTTATAAATAAAACTTCTGTAAACATTCATGTGCAGGTTTTTGTGTGGACATGTTTTCAAATCCTTTGGGTAAACACCAAGGGGTGTAATTGCTAGATTATATTGTAAGAGGATATTTAGCTTTATAAAAAACTGCAGAACTGTCTTCTAAAGCGGCTGTACCATTTTGCTTTTCCATCAGCAGTGAATGAGAGTTCCTGTTGCCCCACATTCTCACCACTATTTGGTTTTGTCAGTGTTTTGGATTTGAGCCATTCTAATAGGTTGTGTAGTGGCACGTTATTGTTTTAATTTGCAATTCTCTAATGACATATAACATTGAGCATCTTTTCATGTGCTTTCTTGATACTCGTGTGTCTTCTTTGGTGAGATGTCTGTTGAGATCTTTCAACCATTTTTTAATTGGGTCGTTATTTTCATAGTGAGTTTTAAGAGTTTTTTATATATTTTGGATACAAGTTCTTTATCAGCTACGTGTTACAAATACATTGTCCCAGTTCGTATCTTGTCTTTTCTTCCATGTAAGACCTCTGTGTTGGGTTGGGCATGGTGGTTCACACTTGTATTCCCAGAGATTTGGGAGGCTGAGGTGGGAGGATAGCTTGAGGCCAGGAGTTTGAGCCCAACCTGGGCAACATAGCAAGATCCCATCTCTAAGAAAATTTAAAAATTAGCTGTGTGTGGTGGTGCTGGTGGTGTGCACCTGTAGTCGTATTAGCTACTCAGGAGACAGTAGTGGGGAGATAACTTGAGCCTTGGAGTTCAAGGTTATGGTAAGCTATGATTGCAGCATTGCACTCTAGGCTGACCAACAGAGAGCAAGACCCTGTTTCTAAAAAAAAAAAAAAAAAGAAAAAAAAATGCATATGTATATAGACCTCTGAATTTTTAAAGGAGGGAACTGAGGCCCCCAAAATTGCGTGATTTGCTAAAAAATTTCATGACTAGTCAATGCAGAACCAGAACTGGAGCCCAGAGTACCTGATTTTTCTGTACAACTTGTAACACTAAGATGCCCTGCTGTTTGAAGTACTGTGTGTTAGAGTCTTCTGTCTTTAAAGGATAGCCCTTGTTTTCGTCATCCCTGTTTAGGGCAGAAGAGATGAAAGTCTGAAAGTGGATGAGCATCTGGCCAAAAAAGATGCCCAGGTCAGTAACAAAGCGGGAAAACATTTCCTTTACCTGTTCTTCTATGTGGCTGCCTTTGCATTTATATGAAAAGGGAGAAAAACAGCACCAAGGGGGCTTTTCTTTTTCTTTTTCTTTTTCCTGTTTGAAAGGGAAGCTTGAAGCTTTGGGTCCCAACCCTAACATTTTACCTGCCCCAGTGGTAGTTATCATTCTCCTTGGCTCCTACCAGCCCAATTTTTAGATTTCTAGTCTGCTGAAAGTAAGAGACTTAGATAGTAGATGATTGCACTGACCTCTAAAATACACATCCCACTCTTCTCATGTCACCTCTCAAAAAAAGAAAAGACTTGTGTCTGTATTAACATTCTTTTGTGAATAGATTCTCTATAATGCTGGCGAGAACAGATGGGGCACGGATGAAGACAAATTCACTGAGATCCTGTGTTTAAGGAGCTTTCCTCAACTAAAACTAAGTATGGACTCATATTACAATTTTTTCTGTCACTTGTTGTTTTTACAAATGTTTTTGCATTTAGTATACAAAGACCTAGAAAAATGAAGTTTAAAATTGCAAAGTCTATTTCAGTTTTATTTATTAACACTTCAGGAAGCAAAATGGGAAGCTGTATTGTAACTCAAGGAAGTACTAACACCACACTTTTGTTTTTCTGTACAGGCTGAGTAGATTACCTAGTGAGTGATGGGTAATACATGGGGGAGGGAAGTAGCAGGAAGAAAAAAAAGAGGCCACCCTCTAGGGTGGGAGCAGAAGGACTTTTTCCTTCGGGATGAAGGAACCTAACTGCTTCCGCTCCACCTAACAGTTCTCCCTAGTTAGCCACTTCCAGAAAAGCCAGACGTCGCAGGTGAGTCTCTGCTGACACATCGATACGATTAACCTTCAGCTCTTTTTGATATGAAGGTAAGTAGTAGAATGGACCAACTCTTATTGTCAGACCAGCCATTACATGGAACTGCGGGCACCCACCCTCTCGCTCATGGCATCTCCCAGAGTTGTTCTGGAAGCAACAGCACCTAGAAAACTAAAACTCCATTTACTGTGAACATCTTCTGACTATGGCTTCCAGGTGCTAGTTTACGGAACAACCACACAGCAAGACCAGGCTTATGCCGAGTTGACAGAACAATGAGTAAACATAGGACGTTTCTGTGACTTTGAAATTCTGAAATTGTTCTTTCTTATCTTTTGTACTAAAATCACATTTATTTTATAAAATAATGATCACAGTATGTGATCATTGCTTTATTAATCTCTTTGTTTGTAAAACAAAAATCAAAAAGCCCTAGGTCTCTCTCCAAAATTTCTTTTTAAAAAAAATTTATTTGGTAAAAATTTACTTGGCTTACAAAATATGCCTGTATACTTGGTGACATATGTACAGGTTTTGCTTGGGACAAATACTGATCAAGAAATTCAAATGCCTTCCGGGAGGTGTGAAGTGCAGACTATGCCGCCCTAGGAAATGATTTATTCAGCACAAGGAATTCTTCATAATTAAGATTTCTTTAGCAGAGAAAACATATTTAACTAGTGATTACAGTCTCATTTCCCAGGTGCTGCTATAAATAAAATTTAAAATAACCCACCTTACTAGATAAATTATTTATTATTTAACTATTTAAATTATTTAAAATGCTTACCACTTGAGAAAAGGGGAAAGAGAGAGAGAGCTCACTGAAGAAAATTATCTAGGGAGTTTGGGTTTTATTGTGGATGATTTTCTTTAAAAGGAACAAAAAGAAAAACAAAAACTTCTGTGCCCAAATTTTTGAGGGAGTTTTTTAGGTTGCTACTTGATCTTCTGCATGTCAAAAAAAAAACTAGAATATATTCAATTGTGGTCAACTGCGTTGCTTTAAATAATTCTGTGGTGTTTCTTTTTAGCATTTGATGAGTACAGAACTATCAGCCAAAAGGACATTGCAGACAGCATAAAAGGAGAATTATCTGGGCATTTTGAAGACTTACTGTTGGCCATAGGTAAGCCTTTGAGTGCTAATAAACCAAGTTACTTTGCGCTTGTTTTAACTCAATGTCAAGGTCTGCTCCTTTTGGTCAAGAATCCTGACTAATCCATCTTTTTATGCTCTCTACAGCCCCCAGCATGGTCCAGGGTACACACAGTATACTTAACAAATATTGTTAAATTAATGCATGAAGAAATTATTTTTTTGAGCCTTTATTTCTTTTCTTTCTTTTTTTTTTTTTTTTGAAATAGGATCTCACTCTGTCACCCAAGCTGGAGTGCAGTGGCACAATCTTGGCTCACTGTTAAGTCTAACTGAATTGCTATAAGATAGGTAAAGGAAGCTAAGAAAGGGAAAACCTTCTTCTTCAATTAAAAAAGTGGAATTGAGATCAGTATCCATGATTAGTTCTCGGACTGTGCCAGTGGCAATGACACAACCAGTTAATTTTTTTTCCATTTTATATTGTTGATCTTTTTTTTTTTTTTTTTTTGAGACTGAGTCTCTGTTGCCCCAGCTGGAATGCAGTGGCTCAATCTCAGCTCACTGCAACCTCCACCTTCCAGGTTCAAGTGATTCTTGTGCCTTAGCCTCCCAAGCAGCTGGGTTTACAGGCACGTGTTACCACGTCTGGCTAATGTTTATATTTTTAGAAGAAACAGGGCTTCATCATGTTGGCCAGGCTGATTTTGAACTCTTGACCTCAAGTAATCTGCCCGCCTCAGCCTCCTAAAGTGCTGGGATTACTGGCTTGAGCTATCACGCCCGGCCTATATTGTTAATCTTTATATTAATTCTGCTTGTTGTTTTTCATTTGGTGTTCTTTTTAATCCATAATGTTTGAAAAACTTTATTGACATGTACAAGCTCTCATTCATTGAGCTAAGGAGCATTCTTGGAAATATATATTGAGTTATGTATTACATTTGGGCTATAATGCACATTATTTTATCATGTAAAAGAACAGCTTATAATTCAACTTATAATTTAAAGTTCAAAGTATGTCACACTTTGATTTTCTGTTTCAGTCTACCTTTGGGATAAACCAGTTTAAAAAATTTTTTTTATTGAGATATAACTCACATACCATAAAATTCACCCATTCAAAGTGCAATTCAATGCTTTTTAATATAGTCACAAAGTTTTGCAACCATCACCACAATCTAAGTTTAGGACATTTTTTTTTTTTTTTTTTTTTTTTTTTTTTTTTTGAGACGGAGTTTCACTCTTGTTGCCCAGGCTGGAGTGCAATGGCGCGATCTCGGCTCACCGCAACCTCTGCCTCCTGGGTTCAGGCAATTCTCCTGCCTCAGCCTCCTGAGTAGCTGGGATTACAGGCACACGCCACCATGCCCAGCTAATTTTTAGTATTTTTAGTAGAGACGGGGTTTCACCATGTTGACCAGGATGGTCTCGATCTCTTGACCTCGTGATCCACCCGCCTCGGCCTCCCAAAGTGCTGGGATTACAGGCTTGAGCCACCGTGCCTGGCCAGTTTAGGACATTTTAATCAGCCCCGCAATAAATCCTATGTTATTGGCAGTCACTCTCCAATCCTCCCCACCCCCTGGCTCCTGGTAATCATTAATCTACTTTCTGCCTCTATAGATTGGCCTTTTCTGCATATTTCATATACAAGGAATCCAATATAATGGTCAACACATAGTTTTTCACAGGAAAAACCATCTGAGCTGTGTCCTCTTAGAATTCTGTAATAGAAGCCTATTTGCTGCCAAATAAAAACAAATCCAGACTTAAGTAAGGAGAGGCTTTATTCGGAAAGACTATTATGGTAGAGAGAGCACACTGATTTTAGAAACATGCAAGACTGGACTGGGTGTGGTGCTCACACATGTAATCCCATTACTTTGAGAGAAGAGGAACACTTAAGGCCAGGAGTTCAAGACCAGCCTGGGCAACGTAGTGAGAGCAACATTCTGAGACTGTTTCAGTGGCAATGATATAACTGGTTAATATTTTTCCATTGTATATTGTTAATTTGTATATTAAAGATTCTATAAAAAATAAAAAATGAGCTGGGTGGGTTGAGTAGTGTCAGCTATTCAAGGGGCTGAGGTAGGAGGAGCACTTGAGCCCAGGAGGTTGAGGCTCCAGTGAGCCATGATGGTGCCACTACACCCGACCCTGAGTGACAGAGGGAAGACCTCATCTCTAAAAGACATGGGGGAAAATGTGCAAAAGTTTCCAAATCTAAAATAAAAGTCTTAGCAGCAGCTTGCATGAGGGCATGGTAATTGGGGATTGACAAGAAATGCCTCTAGCGGTGGACAGCTGGATTAGCAAGATAAACTGCAAAAGAAGTATGTTCTGCGTTTTAGGGCTTGCTCAGGATTGAGGGCAAGCCAGAGTTTAGAGACATGTGGCAAGAGAAAGCCCTGATGGGAATTTGGTCAAGACAATGAAGAAGGTAGGGAATGGGCAATTATGAACTCCTGGTCATGGCAATTAACTCTAACGGATTTCCAAGCTTCCCTGCCTATGATACTAGGTGGGAAAGCCTCCTTACCACTAAAACATACTGCCACCTTCCAAAACTTTTATGCATGAAGAACAAATCTGGTAGTTAAGAACATAAAGCAGAAGGCAAGCTAAAGGGAGGAAAGGATCATGAAAAGAAGGGATTGCACAAATCCAGTTGGCAGGGAGGTGACTGAAAGCTTAATAGGATGAAAGTGGCCATAATTATTTTTTTTTTTATCAAACTACTAAGGCTTAATGTGAGTTTATTGGTTTGAATGGATAGTTTCTTGTCAGAGAACTTCACATAACAGCTTTATTCTAAATGCTGTGTTTGGGTTTCTACACATTTCTCCTTCTATTTCCCTTAAATTACTTACAAAAGCCGAAAGTCCTTTATCTTTCCTTAAGAGAGTTTATAAGCCATGATGAGAAAGTCACTTATTCTTGTTCTGAGCTCCAGAATTCATTATAAAATCCATTCACTTTTGGTTGGATTCCTAACTAGAGATCAGGTTTAAGATTATAAAAATAATTGTGTTGCTGTAAATAGGTTTATTCCCTACAGTGCTTTCTATTCCTATTTTCATTTTATTTAAAAGATAATCGACTCTCATGTTTTTGTCAATTTCCTTTTTCTTGTTTTATTTCTGCTTTACTTATTATTTCAAATAAAGAATTGAAAGATTGTATCTTTTTTTTTTAAGCAACTGAATTTAGATGGCAGGTACTTGTTCTAATGGAGTCACTCTGACCAGTCTATAAATTCTAATCCAGTCATTTAAAAGAAAATTCTTTCCATTGGAAAAATTGCTTTTAAATGGAACTCCAGTGCCCCTTCATGCCTAATGAGTTATTTGGAGCAACATTGCTGCAGTCGCTAGGCCCAAGTTGTTCATCAGTAGCCCGAGATGTTAGCAGCTGAGCCATGGTGCACCCTAGGGAGTTATCAGTGAAAGCGTAGGTGTTCAGTGTGTCTGGGATCCAGAGATGAGTCAGACGCTGTGGGAGTTTCTTTGGCAGGTAATTTTATTTTCCCCATGGCTGGAGATAATTACTGTGCTAAAGTTCTGTGCAAATATGACGTTAAAAGGCTTTGAAAATCAGGGTAAGCAGGCTTTCTTTCATTCCAAGTAAAAGCCAGTTGTGGGGAGGAGGTAAAGTGGTATGACAGGCCAAAGAATCTTTTTTAAAATGGTATTACTTACTATAGATTAATCCAATTTCTATTCCATGAAGCTGAACGTTACTTTGCTTTTTATAACAGTTCATTGTGTGAGGAACACGCCAGCCTTTTTAGCTGAAAGACTGCATCGAGCTTTGAAGGTTGGTCTGGAAAGTTCATGTGCATTCTTAGTGTCCCTTAATTCCTTTGGGGAGTTATGCAAATAGTAGAACAAATATTTAAGAATTACTTCTTTTAATGTAATTTAAACATTTTAAGATAAATTATATTATAGCAAATCAAGGTATGATACAATACACTCTTTACATAGACACCTGATTTTTCTCTTCAAAATAAACAGAGCTGGGTTTATGAAATATTTTTTTTCTAAGTAGGTATAGCTTGATTTCTATTTAATTAAAACATTCTTATTTTTTCTAATATGATGAGTTTAAGTAAATGCTAGTATTCCACTTGTATGAAAGGTAAAAATTTATGTATAATTTAAACATTTTTAAGTTCATCCTCTATTTTAAATAGAAAATGAGAAGGTAAAACTATGGCTTAATGTTGATGGAGTGTCATATTTCTTTTCCACTTGGTTTTCTACAGTAACTAATTTGTCTACTAATTTGTCTAATAGGTTGATAGTATTCTGGTCCATGTAGAGATAGGTACAGAGAAGTATTGACTACATTGTTTTCTCTACTTCACAGTAAGTGCAGGCAGTAGAACGTGTTTTAGAAAGCCAAACTTCAAACTTGAGACTCAGCAGATCCCATGGCCTCCCAAGCTGCCTTGCTTAAAATGAACCAAGCTGAGTTGGCAGCCTTTAACGATGCTGTAACTCTGTGTTTGCTTGTGTGTCTTTACTGCCAGATGATGAGCTCCATGAGTACAGTCTTTTGTTTATCCTCACACCCGAGGCCAGGGCCTTGTGCATAGAAGATGCTTACCTCGATCTCTTTACCAGTCATTTCCTGCAGTTCCACATGTACCTTCAAAGTTATAACCCAAGTGAGCACATCCTTTCCCTCACTTCTCCCAGCCCCACATCTACTCCCCTTCCCCTGTTTATCCCAGAGAATGGCCCCAACAGGAACTTGCCCAACTCTCTTTAGCCATACCATCCCTTCCCAGCCTTGTTCACTATGTTTCAGCCACCCCAGGCTTCTTTCCATTCCACAGCTGTGGCAAGTCTATTCTCACATCACAATCTTTGCATCCATTGCCCTCTCTGGAATGCTCATCCTCTAGATCGATCTCTAGCTGACTCTGTCTCATCTTTCAGGTCTCAGCTCTCCTCCTAAGAGAAGTCTGCCTTGACTATACCAGGCCAATTCGTTCCCCTTCAGTCACTCTCCATGCCATTTCCAGCTGTATTTTCTTCATAGATCTTATCATGATTTACTTAAGCAATAGTCAACTTACTTTACTGTCTGTCTCCAACTACTAGAACATAAGCTCCATGCAAACAGCAATATAATCTGTTCTGTTAACCGCCATGTGCACAGTACATGGAACAATGCCTAGCTATAGTAGATGCTCTTAAGCATTTGCTGGGTGAATTACATAGATGAATGGAATATCATTTAGTATGTTACCATCATTAATTAGGTCAAAATCTACCTATCGGCTCAGCTAGAAATTTTACATTCTCTCTTTTTCATTATCCTATAGTGATACATCACTATGTTTTGTCTATCCATGTACATAAGCAAATCTCAAATCTTCCCATTTTCTCCATCCCTACTGCCTTTATTCTAGGGATGGCCATTGTCATCTCTTAATTACTTCAGCCTCCTTGAGATGAGTCTCAAAGCCTCTAGTCTTACTCCCTTAACTTCATTCTACTCCTACCTTTCAATCTGTTTGGATTCTCATGCTGTGAAGTGATTTTCTGAAACCATGAATTTGATCTGGTCTCAAGATTCTCGTGTTTAAAATATTACAATAATTCTCCACACCTAGGATAAAGTAGAATTTCATTTCATGGTTAACAAGGTCTGTCCTTTCCAGACAAATGTCTTGTTATTCCCCTGATTACTTACGTATCCTTGAACGTGGCATTCTTTCTTGCCCTAAACCTTCATACCTGCTATTTCCTCTGTAAGAACCTTCTCTCCTTCCTATATGAACCTACTCCTTCCCATTGTTGACTATTTAGTCCTCACTTAGATGTCACTTTCTCTGACCTTTCCTAATCCCTAATCTTTCATAGGTCCTGAAGTATGCTCCAATGGTACCCAATATTTTCAACATATCAGACTGTTTTGCAATGGCTTACTTTCTTGCCTGTATTCTTTACAAAGTTGGAAGCTTAACACAGGTATCTCACCTCTGTTTTGCAGCATTTAGCATGATGCTGGCACAGAGTAGGTGCCCAACAAATATTTCTTGAGTAATGAATGATGAGTCTGATGATAAATGAAAAAGAATCATTGTGGCTGAATATTTTGCACACCATGATCTGGTTCTTATAAATATAGATCTCTGTGTTGCTTTGTGACCAATGACATTTGTATTGTGAACTCCTGAATTTCTTAACAGGGTGCTGGAACTGATGAGTTTACTCTGAACAGAATAATGGTGTCCAGATCCGAAATTGACCTACTGGACATTCGAACAGAGTTCAAGAAGCATTATGGCTACTCCCTATATTCAGCCATTAAAGTAAGTCTCTTTTTAAAAATAGCAAAACATATTTTGCCGTTCTCTACTCATCTTCTTACTCTTATATTCCTTAAAATATAAAGGTACATGACTTATATTTCTCTCTCCTTGTCAATGCATAAATGTATTGTCTGAGTTTAAAATAGTAGCAGCAAAATGTCCCTTATTTTCAGCTGTAAACCCCCCAGCATATAATAGACACTCAATATATTTTTTAGGTGTACTAGCCGCTAATTTTTCTTCTTTTGTGACTTACGTATGCAAGTTGTTTACCTGTTTTTATATAGCACTTTTTATTTATTTCAGTCTTTACGACAGTGTAAGAAAAGAAAAAAATATATTTTAAATTTCCTCTTTGTTTTACATGAGACAGCATGGTTCTGCAGCTTAGAGTCCTTTTCATTTAAGTATGTAGGAAACTTTCTCATTTTATTTAACAGCTGTATATCATTCCATTGTTCGTGTATTTGTGCCCACCACAGCAATAGAGGCTTCCAGTTTATTGCTATTACAAACAATGTTGTATAAGGCACACACAGCTTCATGAGGTACAAGTGTATCTGTGGGATGAATTCTCAGAAATAGGATTGCTGAGACAGATATGAATGTATTTTAAATTTTGACAAGTATTACCAATTGAACTCCATTTTGCACTTCCATGAAAAATATATGAGTCCCTCTTTGTCCATAGCCTTGGCACAGAGGGTATTTTCAAACTTTTGGATTTTTTAAACATTTTTTTTTAGAAATGGGGTATTGCTGTGTTGCCCAGGCTAAAGTGCAGTGGCTGTTCACAGGTGCAATCATGGTACATTGTAGCCTAGAACTCCTGGGCTCAAGCAATCCTCTTGCCTTAGCCTCCAAGTAGCTGGGACTATAGGTGTACCCCACTAAATTTTTGGGTTTTGTAATCTGATAGGTAAGGAATTGTGTCTCAGTGTAGTTGTAATGTACATATTTCTTAGCAGAACTGAGGTTGAATATATTTTGATGTTTTAAATAACATTTGTATTTCTCTTTCTGTGATGTGCCTTTTTAAATTCTTTGTCCATATTCTTTGGGATTTTGGTTCTTTTTGGTCTAAGTTTCTTTTTCACATAAGGTGATTAGTTTTTTTTGTCCGGTCATAGTTTCCCAGTCTGTTCTTGGTCCTTTGACTTGGCCGAAAGTATTTTTTTTTTTTTTCCGAACAGAGGTTGCACATCTTGTTTAATTAATCAATCTTTTACAGTTTTTTTTTTAAATTATTTTTAAGAAAATCTGGTCCCTTCTCTTTCTTTCATTCTGGATGAGAATCTTCCTAAAATGAGCTCCTTCCTTTCTGTTTTAATGTATGAAACCAAGTTTCCTTATTTTCAGATCTCAATTAATATTTTATACATAGACACTTTGGATAAATTACAAATTATTTGAATTAATAAGGCAGTAAGGCTGACAACAATTGTACAAGAGGGCTTCTGTACCTTAAGCTCATGGCTCAAAAGTCACAGTTCCAATGGGAAGATGGCAATTAGTTAGTGGTGAACTAAGGGGCTGGCCCCAGACCTGCTCAGCAGCCTTCCACTGATTTACTTTTCTACCTTGGTGCTCCAGACCACATATGAAAGTCTCTAGTAAATGAGTGATAGAGAATGTTAGTCCAAGCTGGTTCCCTGGAACAAAGTGGAAGCTGAGGTTGGTGAGTGGGGCAATCCACCTTCCTTGCCTTCAGGGCCACACCGACTAGAGGAAAAGATAGAGTCAGGGCTGCCTTTGCAGAGGACTTGCAGGCTATGCGACCTCTCCACCTCCATCTACTTGGCTGCTACTCCATCTGCCCTTGAATGTCTTGAGGAAATCAGCACTGAAGAGTGTTGGATGCAGGTGGATTCTCTGAGATCTAAGCTGAGAGCTGGGGCCTGGAGGGCAATCCAGGATGAAGAGGGAAGCAGCAGCCAAGCGGAGAGTGTTTGCTCTGAGCACTGAGGGTCCAAAACTAGGGGTAGAGTCCACGCTGTTTAGACACCCTAGGCCATGGATCATTTATTCACTGTGCAGATCCTGATCCTGGGTAGCTCCCCAGCAGCACCCTCTCTCAAGCCCCTACAAGGCTGGAGCCCTACCTCTCTGAGAGAACTTACACCGAGTGATGGCCCCTGGGGACACCTGGCTTAGACCACATTCCAATGTCACTGCCAGCAGCTGGGGTCTTAGGTCCAATCTTCACTATGGCCCTACCCACAATAGCCATCCTTGACCAGGCACAAAGATTAGCCTGGATCTTTCTGCAGCCATCTTGGGAAGGTTCCTATCTCTAACTTTACCAATGGCTTTTGAATGAATGAATGAATGAACATCAATCAGGTAACTAGATTCATTCACTAAAATTTCTCTTTCTCTTTTTTTTTTTTTTTTTTTTTTTTAGACAGAGTCTCACACTGTCACCTGGGCTGAAGGGCAATGGTGTGATCTCTGCTCACTGCAACCTCTGTCTCCTAGGTTCAAGCAATTCTCCTGCCTCAGCCTCCTGAGTAGCTGGGATTACAGGTGCCCACCACCACGCCCAGCTAATTTTTTGCATTTTTAGTAGAGATGGGATTTCACTATGTTGGCCAGGCTGGTCTCAAACTCTGACCTCGTAATCCACCCACCTCGGTCTCCCAAAGTGCCGGGATTATGGGCATGAGCCACCACACCTGGCCACTGTCTCTCTTTTTTTAATCAAGGCTTTTGTTTTTGCACTAATCTTTTACAGAAAGAGATGCAGAGATGCATGAATAAGTTGAAATCAGGAACTTACTCAAAAAGGCAATTCTCAGACTGTGCCTGGGGCTTAGCACAAATTGCATCAACTGCTCACACTCAATTCTATTTGAATCAGTCCTGACACATCACAATAGTTTCAATCATCAGAGGAAGATTCAATAACGTTAACCATATTGTAGTTACTAAGGCAGAAAAATAGACTCACACATTTTCTAAAGACTGTCAGTAACAAGGCTGAGACATAAAGAGGGCTTTCAGTTCACCCTCAGCAAACCAGAAAATTAAATTAACCAGTGGCTCTCCATTCCCTAATGGTCTGGGTAATTGAGGATTATTGTATTAGAAAACACTTAAACTATTTGTAGTTTGATAGAAAAGAAAAATCCATCATTGAAAACTTCAGTTTGCAATTTGAAATAATACAAGATTCCTTTGTTCCTACCACCTCACCTTTATTATTAAGTAATCTCATTACATTTTTGCCATTGATGAATAGGATCATTTTAGATGGTTGTTTTTGAAATTCATGGGGTAGAGTTCCATTTTGTATATCATCTCAGCCTGTCATCCCATCTTCTTTCTTTCAAGTATCATTTAGACATTTCTCTGTCCATTGACACCTTTCTCAGGTGGTGACTAGTGGGAAGAAGAAGGCAAGGAATGACAGAGGTGAAAAATCAACGTGTACCTCTTATTACTTATTAAGAAGATATTATGGAAAATTTAGATGAAATTATGTTTTTTGGTAGTTTTCCTTGGTCAACAAATCCTGTATTTATTTAATAAATAGCACAATGCCAAGATTTTTATGGGAAAATATAGCAGCCACTCACAATAAACTCATAATCTATGAGGAGGTTTGAGGTAGTTATTTAAAAATTATAAGATAATAATTGAAACAACATATAATTAAATACTATATTGTTAGGTTTAGAACTAGTAACATAGGAATTGAGAAGAAAAGAAGTTTGGGCTTAGAGAAATGGGTCTTGAGCCTTCCTTTCAGGTCAACAAGCATCTGTTAAGTGTCTCCTATGGGCCAGGTGCTCTGCTAGTCAATGGGGTCTTAAAGGTAAATGCTCTAGAAACAGGTATAGGAAGAGGCAAGAAGGAAAGAAGTAATAAGGCACTTGTTTGATTAGAAGGTCTACCTTGGGGAATATTGTGAAATAAAATCCAAGTAGCAAAATGAGTTCACTTGAAAGAGAGCTTTGAGATCAGGGAATTGTACTTTATTCATTCAACTAAAAATATTAATCAAATGCATATTATGTGCTAGGCTCAGAGTTACAATTATAAGCAAAGGTGGTGGAATGAGGGAAGACATTTTATGCCCTTATAGAATTACAACTGTGTTAAATGTAAAGGAAAGTGACATTATGATAAACGATTCTATAATAGGAGGACTTGACTTATGGGAAAGGCTTCTATGAAAAATCATGATTCAGATCTGGAAAATCAGTAGATATTAACAAGGCAAAAGTTATGGAGGTAAGGGAGCCAGTAGAACATTCTAATAAAAGAAATGACAAGTAGAGAGGCCTCAGAGTGGAAGAAGCATAATGAAAAATAAGGATGGAAGGACCAGATCATGCAGGACCTTTTTAGCAATGTTTAAGGAATTTTGCCTTTAGCTTATGAGTAAGAGGAAGCTATTGAAGAGTTCTGGGCATGAACTCTTGAAGAGTTAGTATTATGATCATGAAAAGATCCCTGTGAGATCTCTTCATTCTGGAGAATGAATTGGACATAGGATAGAAGAGCCAGAGGGTGGTGGTTTAGGAGGCTATTACGGTAGTCATGTTAGAGTAGCTGTGACTGGGTTGCTGGCAATGCAAAGAGAAGAAAGAGCAAGCAGAGCTCAAAAGATATTTAGGAGTTGAAACTTAAGGGATTTGGTGTGATATCTTGGTGTGAGGAAAGGAAGGTAGCAAGCATGACACTCAATTTCCTAACGTGAAAAACAGATAGTAGTGCCATTCCTAGCAAGAAGATGAGGTTTTAGCTTTTTTGTTGTTGTTGTTGGGGGGAGGGTGGAGGGAAGTTTATGAGTTTGGTTTTACATGTGTTGAGTTTGAAATGTCTTTGAACTATGTAATACATGTGGAGAGGTCAAGTAGGCCATTAGTGGTGTGAAGTATACTTTGAGCTATTTGGATGTATTTTCTTGACTACTTGGTAGAACCCCTAACAATTGTTTACAACTCTGATCAGAGATGTCTAGAAGGAGGTGTTTTAATACAAAACGGGAGCATTGTTGACTTGTCAGCTCTGCTATGGCAGAGCATTACAGGAAAACTAATAGCACAAGAACTAAATTCTATATAAAACAGAAGAATATTGAGTCATGTATTTTGTGAAACAGACAAATGAACAAAAAATAAAGAAAACAGAACAATATATATACGTGCCTATCGTGTCTTACTGTGAAAGTAGTGCTTAACTTCACTAAATGAGCCTACCACTTACCCTAATATTTACCCCACTGACAGCTGTTTCCAATGTCAAACTTAAGGGATAAGACGTGCTCACTGGTTGGGTTGCCTCAAATAAAATAAAAATATTGTAAGCATCTTACACAATCCAGATTAAAAGCCAAGTTTCACCTCCTATGAGGTATTTTGCATTATAAACTTGGTGTCTTTGCCCATTAAGCCTTAACCTCACATAGTATCTTTTCTGAACAATGATCTATTTTTGGTTGGCCTTGGGAAAAGGAACTGATAAACATATTCTTTGAAAATGTGGTTCATTTCACTTTCCTAAGTCAGGCAGTGTAGCAGGTTATTAAAGAGCCAGGATATAGGGACTCAAATCCTGCTTTTGTCACTTATTCTTGATAAGATTTGGGGCAAGTTTCCTAATCTGTTTTTCTCATTTTACTTATCTGTTAAATGGGGATACATATAGTACCTGTTGCAGAGAACTTTTAAAAGGGTTAAAGTAGTTAATACACATTAAGCCTTCTGAATAGCAAGTGTTTGATAAATATTATTAAAACTATAATCTTTTGAAGTTTTAGAAATTAAAATTATGTAACTGATGCAATCTTATTTTATTAAACCCAAATTGAAATTTAATTGGAATATATCAGGAAGAATCCAAATATTATTTACTGTGAAGAAGATGCTGGCCAAATCATAATTACACTCAGGCATGAATGAATGATGGAATTGCAGGTACATTTTACTAACTGGCATAGCTCATGAATCTCACACCCAGGTGAATTCCCTAGTGTTAAAGGTTTTCAATTCATTTATGATCTCTCATTATTTATATTGTATTTTGTTCTTTGCAGTCAGATACTTCTTAATCCATTTTTGTTCTTTGCAGTCAGATACTTCTGGACACTATGAAATCACACTCTTAAAAATATGTGGTGGAGATGACTGAACCAAGAAGATAATCTCCAAAGGTCCACGATGAGCTTTCCCAACAGCTCCACTTACTTCTTTCTTGAAATATTTAGGAGAACAATTAAATGTAAACAGCAGCCTGTATTTCTAACAGGACTTTTCATTGTTCTATAACAACAACAAAAGTTATTATTCTTTTGGAGCATCTCATTCATAATGTAGTAGCTCGTAAATGAAATTTAAAATGGTATTAAGGATCTGCAAATACTATCCAACTTATGTTTCTGCTTACAAAGTCAGAATCTTTTTACAGTTCTAACTCATTAAATATAAAGCAAGATAATAAAAATTGTTGCTTTGCTAAAAGTAATTTGTTTGTTTGCTTTCAGAATTTGCCAACATTGTTTGATGCCTGGTGCCAACAACTAATATTTTAAAACACGATCCGCCTGCCTTGGCCTCCCAAAGTCTTGGGATTATGGACATGAGCCACTGCACCTGGCCACTCCTCATCTTTAAAATAGGACAACTGTTACTGCTTCAGTTTATCACATTGTTCATCACATTTTCTTTAAGAAAGGAATAAGATGGCTGGGCACAGTGGCTCACACCTGTAATTCCAGCAGTTTGGGAAGCAGAGGTAAGTGGATCGCGAGGTCAGGAGTTCAAGATCCGTCTGGTCAAGATGGTGAAAACCCATCTCTACTAATAATACAAAAATTAGCCAGGCACAGTGGCGGGAGCCTGTAATTCCAGGTACTGGGGAGGCTGAGGCAGGATAATTGCTTGAAATCAGGAGGCAGAGGTTGCAGTGAGCTGAGATCGCACCACTGTACTCTAGCCTAGGCAACAGAGCAAGAATCCATCTGAAAAAAAAAGAAAGGAATAAGATGAAGACTTACGCGACTCTGCCCTACCCCTTATAGTTGTGATCAAGCTATGCTAGTGTCAATGTATGATAAGCTATTTCGGCTTTCAGAAAACATCTGCTGAAGAATTAATCTAACCACTTCCTGTCTGAATGGCAAGCATGAATTATGGTTGCTTCATGCTAAATACTACTTTCCCATAGTGGGCATTTGGAATCAAGCCTCTGAGGTTTCCTTTTCTTTTGAGTTGGCAAAACTATGCATATAAAGAATCCTTCACAGCCGGGCGCGGTGGCTCAAGCCTGTAATCCCAGCACTTTGGGAGGCCGAGGCGGGTGGATAAAGAGGTCAAAAGATCAAGACCACCATGGTCAACATGGTGAAACCCCGTCTGTACTTAAAATACAAAAAATTAACTGGGCATGGTGGCGCGTGCCTGTAATCCCAGCTACTCAGGAGGCTGAGGCAGGAGAATTGCCTGAACCCAGGAGGCGGAGGTTGCGGTGAGCCGAGATCGTGCCATTGCACTCCAGCCTCGGTAACAAGAGTGAAACTCCATCTCAAATAAATAAATAAATACATAAATAAAGAATCCTTCATGCTATCTTTGAGTGGGACCTAAAATGAAATACCTTGGCTGATATCAAATAGATCAGGTGAAAAAATTCCAGTTATAGTTATTTTCCTGGTTTGGAGGAGAAACAATCATACTGGCCAAGAGCAGTGGCTCATGCCTGTAATCTCAGCACTTTGGGAAGCGGAGGCCGGCGAGTTGCTTGAGCCCAGGAGTTTGAGACCAGCCTGGGCAACCTTACTAGACCTTGTCTCTGCCAAAAATACCAAAATTATCCTGGCCTAGCAGCACAAGCCTGTGGTCCCATCTCCTTGGGAGGCTGAGGTGGGAGGATTGCTTGAGTTAGAGAGACTATTTGGCAAGTTACTTCTGTAATCAATACTATAAATGTTGGTTATGACTAAGATGATGGCAGGAGATAAAAAATACTGCTTAAATCAGGCGTCCCCAAACTTTTTACACAGGGGGCCAGTTCACTGTCCCTCAGACCATTGGAGGGCTGCCATATACTGTGCTCCTCTCACTGACCACCAATGAAAGAGGTGCCCCTTCCTGAAGTGCAGCAGGGGGCCGGATAAATGGCCTCAGGGGGCCGCATGCGGCCCAAAAGCTGTAGTTTGGGGAGGCCTGGCTTAAATATTTGAGAGATAAAATGGAGTAAACAGGTATTCAAAGTAACCCAGTGTCAGTCAAGTATGCCTTCATAATTGTAGTGTAAGTGATTCAGTGAGTAAGTATATCACAAAGCAGTAAATCAATGCTAATACTCATTGAGTGCTTACTATGTATTAGGTACCGTGTATTAGGTTCTATGTTAGACAGTGTAATGTATTTTAAATTGTTAACCCTCAGGGAACCTTACAATGTACATACTAACTCAGATATAGAAATGGAAGCTTAGAGAAACTAAGTAACTTGTCGCTGTAACAGCCAGGTAGGCCAACTCCAGTGTTCAGGCTCTTAACTGCTGTTCTGCCTTTGAATTTATCCCATCCCAGGGCCACTGTTATTTTCAGTGCCTAGTGCTTAGATTAGAACAGTGCTCAGCACATGCAAGGCATTTAATACAGTGAATCTTTATTTTAGATCTCATTTATCCCCAGAGTTGTTATACGATTTATGTATTAAGTACTTTCCGAAACAAAGCGTGGTTACATGTGTTAGTATACCCCCTGTTCTGCAAATGAGGAAAATGAGACTCAGGTTAGGTTTCTAGCCCAGAGTTACACAGTAGGGAAGCCAAGGCTTAGGATCCAGGTCAGCTGGCCTTCAAAACTTATCTGTGGCTGGGCAAAATGGCTCACACCTCTAATCCCAGCATGTTGGGAGGCTGAGGCAGGAGGATCACTTGAGTCCAGGAGTTTGAGAACAGTCCGGGAAACCTCAGGAGACTGAGTCTCTATAAAATTTTAAAGATTAGCTGGGCATGGTGGTGTGCACCTGTAGACTTAGCTACTCAAGAGGCTGAAGTGGGGAGATCACTTGAGCCCAGGAGTTTGAGGTTGCATTAAGCTATGATTGCACCACCCTTCTCCAGCTTGAGTGGCAGAGCAAGACCCTGTCTCAAAAACAAAACAAAATAAAACTCTATCTGTGCATGAGTGAATATGAAGAAGGTGAGAACTTGAAGGGAGTAGTGATCACATGAGAGAATTCTGAAAAGAAAAAAAAAAAAGCCACATTAAGATAACCCTCTAACCCTTCTACTCACATCCGTTTTGCCTTGTTTGCCGTATTCATTGGACTTCAGTCAATTACTTTTCTAAACTACATAATCCTCATCTTTTTTGTTCTTTTTTGAGATGGAGTCTTGCTCTGTCACCAGGCTGGAGTGCAGTGGCACGATCTTGGCTCACTGCAGCCTCCGCCTCCCGGGTTAAAGCAATTCCCCTGCCTCAGCCTTCCGAGTAGCTGGGACTACAGGCATGCACCACCACGCCCAGCTAATTTTTTTTTGTATTTTAGTAGAAATGGGGTTTCACCATGTTGGCCAGGCTGGTCTCAATCTCCTGACATCGTGATCTGCCTGCCTCAGCCTCCCAAAGTCCTGGGATTACAGGCATGGGCCACTGCGCCCCGCCACTCCTCATCTTTAAAATAGGACAACAATAGTACCTACCTCAAAGGATTGTTTTGATAAATAAATGAAAAAACACTTAAAAGGTATTCAACATAATGCATAGCACATGATAAGCCCTCAATAAATGTTAGCCTGTATCATACAATTATTGTAGAGTAGTCTTCAATAGCCACATTTTTTTTATTGCCTCCAATTTCCACAAGGTGGCATGTTAAGTTCAAAGTGGACCCCATGGCATCCCAATGACAAAACCTACTTAACTTGTTTCAGAATAACATGTCCAAATCCGAACTGTTTGGAAACGTATTCTATAGAAAGTTTGTCATGGTTCAGCCATCTTACTGCCAATGTAAATTCCTTCTTAAGGAAACGTGGAGCATTTAATTTTATCATCTGGTTTCTCGGGATTCCCAGGACCATCCTCATTTACATGAATGTATATTAGCTCTGCCATGGATCACCTGAAGAATTGAGTGCATTCATGTCATCTCATTAAGCACTAAGTTCACTCCGCGAAAACTGAAAGAGGAGAAAAATAACCAGCTGCAGAGTCCTGGGCTCTGTGATTGGTGAGCTGCAGAAGACAGGAAGTTTGTACACTTCACTCTAGAGTAATAGAATGTTTGGTCTGTAAATCAGGAGCTGCAAAAATGGCAAATGAAGATGTTGAATAGGAGATTCTGTAGCCTATTTATAAGAATGTATTGAGGAAATTTTTCAAATAGTGTACAGTAGTTCAGACCTTTCTTCCATGTACCTTCCCCTTTTTCCATCTCCCCTATTTCATGCTGTATGGATAACCCACAATTTCACTTTGTCTTTAAAACACTGATTTTGAGGTCATATCAAACTGGGTTCAAATCCTGGTTTCACCACTTGTGACAGCAGCATAGATAATGGTGTTTGACAAATACTTAACCTCCATATAACTCAATTCTTTAGCTGAAAATAACAGCATCTACCTTAAATATGTGCAAGGATTAAATGAAATAAAGCCTGTGAAAATTTTAACTCAATGGAAATTAGTTACTAATAACTGCATTGGCATGGGGAGCTGTCTAGTGAAAAACAGATAGCAAGGGTTCAACAAGCATTTACAGAATAAATGATACTTGTTTTAGTACCACCAGCGACAGTAACTCTAAGACCTTGAAACCTTCAGAGAAATGTCAGCTGAAATCAGTGCTATGAATATGTTGCCAAATGTGTCTTCTAACGATAAGAGCCAACTATGTTCACCTCAGTGATGAGGTTGTAGGATCTGAAGAAAGTTTTCCAGGCTTATTTCCTGCCCATCAGTTGAGTGAAGCATGTCATGTGAGGGAGAAAGCCCCTTACTCTTTCTGTACCTTAGTTTCCTCAACTGTGAAGCCAGGATGGCCATCCACGTATCATTCAGAGT